ATTATTCATACGTCATTAGGACAAAGTAACAGTCTTTTTTGTTGTTGAAAATTATAGAAAACATTTACGTTACTGGGTTAGAGAATTAAGCAATCTTAATATCTTACGAATAGTGAATGAACAGAAATATTTGTAACAGTCAATATCATATGCTTAATAGATGTCAATGCAATGAATAACTATTATTTAACAATGTTAAAATCAATTCAATGAAAGCAATTATTCTTTCTATTCATTTAATCAAACAAGCAATCAACTTTGTTTTCTATTTACTGTGTAGTTTAAATAACTATTTTAAGATCGTACGGTATTCAGTACTATAGATTAGTAAAATGTAAGCTCTTTAATAATATTGACAATCTTATCAACTGTTTATAATTCTTGTTGATCAGCAATGTTATTTAACAATTTGGCAAAACATCTTTTCCTTCATTATATTACAAATTTAATAAAAGTGTACTATTGACTAGTACATTCTTGACAAAATCAGCAGTAAAATTACATATATTTGATTTTGCAAATGTGTAATAGATTTCTCTCCTTTAAAACAGTATCTTTTGTTAAGCAATGATGAATAGTGGCTAGCATTGGAATCCAGGACGCGCATTTCGTTCTAATTGGGACACTGCTAGCCACTATCCATCATTGTTTACAAAAAGCTTGTGAATTAAGGCAATATCGAGGCATACGCACACTATGCACATATGCCAATAACAGACTGATCAATTGCAGTTTTAAACTCCAATGGGAAGATACAACCTAAACAATACCAAGTGATGTATCTTTAGTTGTTTGCTTGTTTATATTTTACGCGCATACACAAACACACAAGCACACTCGAATTCCTTTCTAATTAGCATTCATGTGAAGATTGAACTTGTTGTTGTTAAATGTAATTTTCATTTCCCGAAGGTGTTCTTTTTTTAGTGATATTGACTTGATAAATTTAAACAAATCATACGAGATAACAACAATAATAGATAATCATCCATAGCGCAAAGAAGTTAGTGCATATATTATAAACAAAACTACCAGATATCGGAAACAAGTGTATTTTGTTTGTTATACTTGTGTAATTTTACGGAATAAATAATTAAATGTCAAGTGGTTTTTTTCTAATCATCCATGATCTTATGATGTTAAGATATCTACAGTGTTCCATATTAATTTAATGTATCCAAGTTATTGGCTTAACGAATTTTATCAAACCAATCCCCTAGTATTTTTTTAAGAATATAATTAGTAGAATTATATAAGAGTTCGATTAGTTTTGAATAGATCATTTTTACACCAAAAATTGAGTTATAGTCTGTAAGTAACAGTGATATTGGTTTCTAATAGGTAGCAAGAAATTACCACTTGCTTTAAATATATACATCAATGACTTATGGGTGAACACTTGTTAAATTCCTAAAGATATGTATTATCGTGGTGTTGCTGTCAAAGGTTATATTTTGATCACTCATTGTTAATTTATGTACACCTATAGAGGATATAATTATACACTTTTTAGTATTATAGGTAAAGAGGAAGAGATAAGCATACATACAGTGAGATCATCAGCATATTTCACAAAAGTGTTTTCTGTGGAAGATGGCAGATCATGCAGAAAAAAAAGAGAAAAGAAAAGGTGAAAGAACAGCTCCTAGCAGTACACCTTCATCAGACAGTAGAGACTCTGAACACTCCTCCAAATACAGTGAACTGTTCCCTTCCAGAGAGGTAGGAACATAACCAGTTGGTTATCCAGCTGTCAGTATTGACGCTGACTAACTGGTTATTAGAACGCTGTCTTGGTATAGAATCAAAAGCTGAAGTATAGTCCAGAAAAGCACATCGAACATACTTCTTACCCTTTTCCAAGCTGAACATTATATTGTGATGCAGAACAGCAACAGCATCTAAGGTGCTTCTTTTGCATCTGTAAGCAAACTGATACGGATCAATATGCTCTTTTATCGCAGGCTGAAATGGAAGTATTAATATTTTTTCCATTGTTTTGAGGAAGGGTGAAGTTATTGCAATAGGTCTAAATTTTACATTCTTATCACCAGATACTTTCTTGGGTACAGAGATTATCTCCATCTTTCTCCACATTTTCAGAATGAGATTAGATGAGAAGGATCTGTTAAAGATGGTTGTGAACGGATAACATAGGACGTCAGCACACTTGTTGAAAAGGATGTTTGGGATACCATCAAGTCCCAAACATCGAGATGAATTAAGTGACTGGAGACATCTTCGAACATCAGTTTCAGTGAAACTAGGATTACAGCTATTATTTACACCTGTGGATAAAGAGAGCATCACATCAGATGACTGGCGTACAGAAGACTCATTCAAGTCACAAACATTCAGCCGGTTATCGCTCCTAATCTGTCTGTCACCTGTAAGTTCTTTAAAGAGTTTCCACATACTTGGAGAGCTTTTGCAAGACAAGAGTTTTTGAGTAAACATAGAGTTGAAGCATCTAATCTCTAGGTTTATCAGACCATTCAGCTTAAGAACTTCATTACAGTTTTTCTCCTTGTACATTCTTTCATTCACCCTCTGTAGTCGTTTTAGTTGTGAACATGTAAGTCGATCAAAACTTACAAAAATGGTTCCAGTGGGACAACTAATATCAAAACAGAATTTAAGGTAACAAGTGATAACATGAGAAGTGATTTCCAGTGAGTCATCTGTAAATAATTCCCAGTTAGGCGTATGAAACATGTTTTTCAGATTTCGGATATTTTCTTTTGAATAATTCCCATATTTGACTTTCTTGGTTTGATGTAAGAGTTTACTCTTCCCATGCTTTCCATATACTTTAGGTAGAACACGAACTGTACAGTGATCCGAGCTAGACAATGGAGCACGTTTACGAGTCACATATATACCCACATCAATAATGAAAACGAAGTCTAAATGAACATCCAAACGAGTAGGAAAATCTACTACATTTTGGTGACCTAGTGACGTAAGGAAGCTACAGTCACATGAATTGAAATCACCACATACAACTGAAAGTGAATCACTGAAATCAGTAACAGCGAACTCAGTGAATTCATCAGCGAAAACAGATAGCGCAGATGATGTGCAGTCTGGACTCACGTAGATATTGGTAACATAAACAAATTTGTATTTATTCATATGTTTTGGACAACATCTTAGAGTTAGACAGTCGATAAAGTCATTTGAAAACTTGAAACACACAAACGAAGATCGACACCAGTTCACATTTACAAATGTAGCCACACCGCCGCCACACCTCTTTTTATTGTTTGGTCGACCCTGAAGACATACGATTAGTGTTCGTTCTCTTCAACGTATATTACCAACCACCACGATGTCTTTTATAGTACTATTTTGTAACTTGTGCAGCGAAGGGTCGTAGGCTTTTCATAAAAGCGCCTGAATAGGTTATGCGATTAATGGACATAATGAGAAGTTAAAACAAAATGAAAAAAACAGATAACTTGTTGAAATAATTATATGGCAGAAACAGGTAACCTAGATATTCAAGCAGACCGCCGTTATTTATTTATTTAAAGCTTTTTTCCCTTTTTTTGTCTTTGTTTCTGTTTTTTGTATAAGATACTTGTTGAAATACCCTGTGCTGAGAAATCTATATTGTACCAAAATTTAATATTGAATAAAGCCATTAATGATAATAATCTACAGAGGATATAATTATACAGTCTAGTTGTTAAAAAATTTTATTGGAGCGTTCTAAGTTACACTATAAACCTAATGTGACTGAAAAAACTTTAAATGTTATCTTTATATAATAAAATATTTAATAGTTGAGTTCATGAGTTAATTGAAACTAGACCTTCGTGGAAAACGTGGAAGCACTGAACAACCGTTTTATCCTCGTATAGGACTCCTCAACAGTGCGCACCCACGAGCTCGCCTCACGAGATATCGAACACAGGACCTATCGGTCTTGCGCACAAACGCTTAACCTCTACACCACTGAGCCGTCTGGCATCCAATGGTGTTAATATCTAACTTCAACCAATCCACAAAATTGAACCATCGTCCATCATTGTCATCAGTGAGTTACTATCTCACCACAGACCTGTTTGAACTCCACTGGTCACAGCTTCTCACTAGAACTCCAGGAAATACCTCTTGAAACCAGTCACTAGTGAGCATATGATGATTGTTATCTCCACAAAACCCTCTTCTGATAATAAAATATTTCTTTACTTTATATTGAGCTACAAAAAACTTGGATAATTTGTAAGCTATTCCATATAGTCTCAAAAAGAATAGTGACTAATTTAGATAATCAGATATCTGTTTTTGATGCCATTTTTAAAATAATCATATTTTGTGTTTTTGAACACTTTTTACTACCAATATGTACAAATGAATAATTGAAGATGGTGACACTTCACTATGATATTTATTCCCTTACTAATTATTATTTATAAATGACAGGAATACTGTTTATGTCCAATTTAAATATTTACCTAAAGGTTATTTTACTATTGATTAGTTTATTTATTTTTATTTAGGTCTAATTTTGTTCTCACAAAAGAACAAAAGAAAAGAAACAATTGAAGAGAAAATTTTTATTTCTTTCTATTACCTTATCTGTTATGAATGTAAAAGTTCCTATAAATTTGTTTAAATCTATAAATCAAACATTCTTAGAAGGACGTTTACATTGACTAACTAAATTTGATAAAACAAATTAAAGAGCTGACATAAATAAAACAAAAACCTTAACTCTCCCTAGATTAAGCAAGCATGATTTCAATTATATTAGCAACGTTATGGGGACTTTCTACTTAATGAAAGTTCGTTAAATTACTTAAACAAAATGCATTTATTAAAATCATGAGATCAACTTATATTCTTAATGGAATGTAATGCCTTAAAAGTTTTATTTGAAAGCTTACTTATATAACTTATATATATACTTTTAATTCATAACAGCTTCATATTTCACATTTCTTATCCTCTATTATAATGATGTATTTGTTTTTATATTTATAATTTGTCAGATATGGTGATATGATACCATCTACGGTATTGGGTAAAATAATTGGCAGTATTTGTTCTTTATGCGGTGTATTAGTTATAGCTTTACCAGTACCAGTAATTGTATCAAATTTCTCACGAATCTATCAAAGAAAACAAAGAGCAAATAAACAAGCTATGCGACAAGTAAGTCTATATTTGTAATTTTATCCTTTTAGTTATAGATTTGATTAAGAATTATTATAGTTAAGAGGTTTTTTCCAACAAAGTAGTAAACGACTAATTTTATTCAGCTCTTTAATGTACTTAGTCTATTTTAGTAACTGGTAAAACTTTAATAATAATAATAACTATTTTATTCATATAAAACTGAAGAGAAAATATTCATTTACTAATACCGACTATACTAATAATTGTGGTATTAATCACTTTAATGTTCTTTAAAATATTGATAATTATCAAGTTTTCTACTTAAAGTAGACTTCTTGGTTATTATCAGAAGTGGTTTTGTGGAGATCGTAGTAATTTCAGAAGTTGAAATCATGAGTCGATTGAAGCTAGATCACCATGGAAAATCAGTGGTCTAATGGTTAAGCGCTCGCGCGTGAGACTGGTAGGTCCTGGATTCTAATCTCGCAAGGGGGCGGAATCGTAGATGTGCACCGCTGAGGAGTGCCGTACTAGGACGAAACGACCATCCAGTGCTTCCAGGTTTTCCATGGTGGTCTTTGATTATCGGTTACAATCCCAATAAATATTTTGTACACAAAAACAAAATTTAGTTTACAGATCAAGAAGGACTGTGGTGAAGTTCTGACGAACTACTCATTGACTAAATAAACAATATGCTGTGAAATATACTGCGAAATATGAACTGAAGCTTTCATCTTTTCTTATTTTTGAAAGTGATCTTTCTAAACTATGCTTATGTATTGCGTCAAATTGATCACTTTCATTAAACTTTGTTACTACTCTATGTTTAAATTGTTATTATTCCTTGAAAAGAATTTGTTATGGAAACAAAACTTGTAATCTTTTTAAATTATTTACTTTTAATTCATTTGACTGCATTAAGACTCACTATGTAACAGTTGTAAAGTTGATCTAATAAGCAAACTATAATTTAACAACCATAAGAATTATGTTTAGGAGTTTTTACAAGTTAACATAATACTCAGTATAGATTTTCCAGCTAAAATATTTGGCCTCATTTTGTTCAGTTTAATTTTACTTCACACTCAGTATGTCCCGTTTTCTTTAGGTAAAAAGATAGTTTCTTCATATAAATTTTGTGAAATTTATGATTCAATTCAAGTGCTTTTGTAACTAACTTTAAATTAATCGAAATTCAATATAAAAACAATTAGAAAATAATTCATAAGTAGTTGATCATTTAATTCCACTTATCTGCACCTCATTGTTTATCTTAGTTGTTTAACTTTTCAATTACATAAGTCATTTATACAGTTTTGTAAATTTTTATTTCATTAAACTAATTGTATAACTTAATGAGTTTTTTTTATTTTTGTTTTCTATTAATTACATAAATAATAAATAGATTAAATGGTAATAAAACTTCTATAGTTTCCTGTAAATTAAAATAATTAATGATTAAGTGAATGAATGTAATCTAAAATTTTGTGGATTTGAGTACTTTGATAAATAATATTTACAAACAGCATAGGACATTGTTGAGAAGTCTCACAATAGGACGAAACGGTTGTTCAGTGCTTCCAGGTTTTCTATGGTGGTCTAGTTTCAATTGGCTCATGATTTCATCTATGAAAGTATAGTATATGTGAAAATCAAATCTATGAAATTATACAGCTTAACTATTAAATATCAGTGTAAAATGGGAGAATTATAATACAATAAAATAATTTAACTGATAATTAAATGAATTTAGATGAATATTTTGACAGTCAAAATTTATGATGAATTTGGTGTTTTGAAAATCCAACACTGAACCGCTTATCAGTAATTTATTATTCGTATAGGGATTTTGTGGAGGTTGATGAGCTTTCATGATTACATCAAGCATTAAGTATAGTTACAAAACCACGGAAAATCAGAAAATATTGAACATCTGCTTTGTTCTAATGCAGAACTTCTCACAAGTGAGCACTCACGATCCTATTACAGATAATCGAACGCAGGACCTCAGGTCTCGCAGTGATCGTTCAAACTCTAGACAGCTAAATCGACACATAATGATATTTATGACTAAATTCAGTCAATTTGCGATACTTTAGTCACTAATAGCAGTAACAAAAATATATATGGAACAGTAAGTCAAGTAAAATCTTAAGTCTGAGAGAGGTGAGAGGCTATTATTAAATATTTTTCATATGATATTTATGCTATTATAACTAATCACTATTATGCCTGAAGTTATTAAAGAACTTCTGATTGAAAGCTAAGTAGGATCTCATTTTTTTCAAAAAACTATACAGGTCTTCGGTTTCGAGATGGAATCTATCACGAGCGCAAAATTGTCCCTTGGTACATACAAATAAAATAAAGTGTGGTGGCTCGTATAATATCAAGCCCACATAGGTTATTCTAGTTTCGGACAGACTTATTTATTCTTGTCAAGCCACATTTTGACCCCGTCAGTTATTTGCTTATTAACCTCAATTATTTTTTATATGGTCGTATGTGTGCTAATTTCTTACTCTATTCATGGTATATCTGTAACTCATTTTTGTTTGATTATAAATATTGATTAACGCTTGATTAAATCGGGTTGACTCAATCGCCCTCTCAACTGCGCGTCATTTCGTTTCGCTTCACTCTCTTCTCTTTGCTTTCTTCGCTTCGTTTCTTCGATCATTTATCTGGATGAACGATTATTTGAAATATGTGACTAATTTAATTCCGTTATTCACAAACGCGATTTAAGTCGATATTTACATACAACGGTTTGTGGCATGTATATTTCAATAGCAATCACCATACGATGTGACTAAAGTAAGATACCCAGCCACTAAAGTGGTAGGCCCGTCTATAACATAATCATTCGATCTAATTGGTGTTAAAATAAAAGGCCACCAGAAATGGTAAGCCCGACTTTAGGAATCCCGTCGATAACATCAGTATCATCATACCACTGCCAATTTGGTTTTCATTTTAAATTTAATTTAGATAGCGATTGAGTATTCAATAATAGGATCAAGTAGATGACTAATATAATAAATGTGTAGCGTTGAACAATACAACAATCGCCGACAATTTTAATCGCTACTTCAGAACATTATTTCGCATAATGTTGTAGGACAAAATACGTGACCTGTAGTTGCAAACCACTAAAATGTGATATATATATATATATATATATATATATATATATATATATATATATATATATATATAATCTAAAATTTTGATGATCTAAATGTTTGCGATATTTTACACCACTTCAACCATTAACACTATAAACAACTGAGTAATATTATTTTGATACTGTAAAAATAGGAATCAATATTTGAAGTGGTAGAATTTGACTAACAACCAAAAATGTTGATTTCTAATTAAGCTATTTCTTATCATTTAGATTGTTGATATTTGATTTCTTTCGCTAAGTTCCTTAATAATATTTACTTAAGATTGAAGTATTTTACTTAAAACAGATAACAGCTCATCCATCCTTCGTAATACAATCAATTCATGTTAATTAGTAATTGTCACATCTCACATAAACAACGAATAAATAATAATAATAATAACAATAGTTATAATGTTACCATAAGTGAATCAAAGTAGATGATGGCAAAAAATGAAAACAAGTGTTCTATCTATAACAATGATGATCAACATTGAATAAAGTAACTTATTTTTCTCTTTGTTTACTAGAAAAACTAAGCTTTTCTTTTTTGATCATGCTGATACATAAATCAAAAATATAGCTTACTGATTTCCTACGATTTGTCATAGTTACAAACAATTCCTACTAACCAACTTTTAAATGAATAGCTCAGAATTTTATTTTTTTAAATAATCGTAGTCTATAAAGTGAGTAAAGGCAATGGATATTGGAATAGAATCGTATTGAATCACTAACTGAGTAAAGTTGAAACATAGATCAGTAAATTCCAATTCAGTGGATCAACAGTATCACAGTAAAACTTGAAGTCATTAGGCTCTATCTCTTATGACGTCATATGTGTTCACTGACAAAATGTTCTAACCAAAGACTGCAAAATTATTTGGTGGTTTATGATTAACATCCCTTTTTCCTTCCAACATTGGATGTTGTTGGAACTGAAACAAAGAAACGTACTGTAGAATTTACATAGAATTTAAATGAATAGCATGGTATATGAAAGGCAGAAAGTTTCATTTAAATCTAGAGATTATAACGGACTAAGTATTAGTAATAGGATTCTGAACATAGTAGGAGGTTAAATGATAACTAGAGATTATTTGAGTCTTATTTATATAATTCCATTTGTTTATCACCAACATGTGTTTGTAAAATATTCTATTTACTAGATTATAAAGCTGACAAGTTTTAAAAGGCGACGATATTCTGCAAGTTCACTGGTAGAATAAATTCGATTATCTTTTGAAAATAAAACAATGAAAATATATGACTCGAGTCACTGACTGATCTTATTTAAATAACCACTGAATATTAGGAAAAACTGAAAAGTTCTTTAGTCCCAGCATGTGACTCCATGATCTCATAGAGAAACAAGCTCAGGGTCTATGGGTCTCTTGAGGAATTTTTGATCCTAAGAACACTTAGCTAACATCCAGCTGCTCACATATTTAACTATAGTTTTAAAAGATGAATCCAGAATTCTAGTGATAAGATGTGACTAGTGATGTTTAACTATGTCGAATGTGCAACAGTTTCTGACTCAGGATTGCAAATTGATTAGAGTTAGACTTGCATGTCATTTGATGTTAATTTAGTGATTTAGAGGTTAGGCACTCTCTGAGACACTTAAAGGCTATATGTTCCATATCTTGTGGGGTCATGAGTATGAACTTTAAGGAGTCCCACACAAAAACAAAACATCTGTTCAATCCTTTGTGATTTTCATTGTTCGTTTAAACAAACTCAGTCCATTGGGTTAACTATAGAATTCGGCAGTCTCCGCAAGTCTACAGTGCTTGATAAGTGTACAGATTTAGAAGCCTTGGAAAGCAGTTTCTTAAGATTATATTCCTGAAAATATTTACAAGTCTTTTTCACAAATATAATAAATCACATTCTATTAATTAATGCTTAGAGGAAATGGCTTTTGATATTCTTTAAAAGTATGTTACCTAAACAGTTATAATCCACATTATTTAGCACGATTATCATAGATGTGATAACAGAGCCATTCATTTTGCGAAATAAGTACGTTGCTCTTAAGCAAATTACGTCCATCACCCAACACTAAACAAAACAAAACTAAGTAATTTCAACGGTTAAGATCATGAATCAGTTGAAGCTAGACCACCATGGAAAACCTGGAGTGCTTCCAGGTTTTCCATGGTGGTCTAGCTTCAACTGATTCATGATCTTAACCATTGAAATTACTACAATCTCCACAAAAACCCATCTGATATTAATCAAAACTAAGTACTTTTATAATAGCTTTGATCAGACTTCTGAATAAGTTCACTTTTTGTCAAGCGAATAAATTTGTCATTTTAATTAGGGTATTTTATGACTTTCGGATATACTTTGTCATTTGTGATCTTGACGCTTTCACGAATGCTTGATTAATGCCTTTTATATACTCTAAATGGTTTATATCCACCCTAAATGTGCCTTCCATGTTATGGGAGTGTGAAGAGCAGTGTATGCCAAATCTGGAAAAGAAAAACTGAGTGAATAACTTGGCAAGCATAGATTATCTATAGTTTATATTCGTCACGGATTGATCTCATTTGAACTATTATTAAAAACAAGGAGAAATGGATAGCTACTTGTCATAGTATAGAGCCACTTAAGTGTGCACCCATGATCCTACCAGGTGTAGAATCAATGACATTCAGGTTTCATGGAAAACTCTTCTTGAACTCTGACCAAGTTGTTCTAAAAGGTCCAGAGCCTAAACCATGGTAATGTCATTAGTGCACATCGCTAAGTAATCTCATGCTAGGAAAAAGCACTTTTCCAATGCACTCTGTTTTTTTTTAATATTACCGTAACTGAAACCAAAGTGCGACTAATACAACCAACAAATCTATCCAATCTCTATACAACCCCTTCAGCTAATTGACTCATACTTTGAAATAGTAAATATATTTTATTGACTGGAAATAACAAGGAACGTTTTCAGTTCAAGTGTATTCTTTCAGTGATGTGACGAGTGATGATGAGCTAGACAGTTCGGTTATGATGATCCATTGGCATTCTAGAGAATACTGTCAACTGATAACTCAGTTATAAGTTAATGTTTCACCTGTGCTTAAACAAGCCAAGAATAATGATCTTACCTGTGACTGTTTATCTTCACAAGCTTTGCACTGATTTGTGTTCATTAAAAAATTACTCTGATAACTGCATTACCATCAGAATCAGAAGGAGTTTATGTTAATCCATATGGTTTAAACGATAACGTTTATCAAAGAGTTTCAAAAAAATGAGAATGTGTAAAACTTTCTATATTAAATTCAAGTCGTTTAAAGACATAATTTACTATAAGAAACAATTACAACCCAATACAAGTTTGCAAACTACTATTTCATCTCATCTTTTAAGATAAGTTTTCCTGAGGTTTACATAGTATCGTTTTAACATAAACAACTAACACTAAATTTATCTCTTAAATACGTCACATCAATAATGAAGCGACAAGAATTAGGCCATAGAATGATAACGTATGTAAACCAATATCATAACATATATTTTCCATTTGACTCAATTGAACTTGATTGAAAGAACATCGAAATCCATGTTCTTAATAATTTCATATCTATTTCAAATGAGAAATAGGAAAAATATTCAGCAAACCATTTGACCCGTTTGATTTTTTAAATACGGTATCCTTCTAAATTTAATATCTACTGAATTCTTTTTACAATATTTATTTATGCATGAAGAAATTCGTATCATTTTATGATTCTATGAAAGGACTTTAAATAGCTCGACTTGAATATCATCGTTAAAAAGAGATAAGGACAATATTTTTCTATCCTTATTCAAAATTTTGTGTTACGGAAATGATAGTAAAATGCAATTCTTTAAACGTCAGAATTTCCGGAATCTATTTCTCACTAAATAAGCTCTGATTCTTCAGCATGCATCGGTGACATACACAAAGATCACTTAACCTATCTCAAGAGTTATATAATCTTTACTTAGTTGCTATTTCATAAGAGTTCAGCCGCAATAGAAGAAACTCATTTGGTTCCTGGTGAATAAGTTGCATGTCTGCCTACCAAAGGGCTAATGTAGCTTCTTAAAGTTTGTTGTTTGTTAAGTCTGTGGAAAACTAGAAAAATGCAGCATTCTTCATCTATCATCTGGTAAGAACATATTCCATGGGGTGATAATGCGAATCTCCTACCTCACTAATTATCCCTTTACTTATCACAAAACCAGTGAATATTGTTAGTATATGTGTTTCACAAAAAAAGTCTAATAAACGTTAGATCTGCGAAAGTTAAAGTTTTAGCGGAATATATAGAATGATCATATATGACTTTCTGATAATGTCTTTCGATAAAAAGAAGTCTTTTTAATAATGTTCATTTTTAATAAGAAAAAACAACCACTAAATAATATAAGCCATTCAGTAAAACAAATCCATATGTTAGCAAAATAACGGATTTATATAAACTAATTGAAGCTACTTGTCATTTAAATCATGTTGACTATTTCACTGCAACACAAAGTAATATGTAAAATCAGGAAAGCCACAGCATCCACCACGATATGAGAATTCTTTCAGCATCATTAACTCGTATAAATAATATATATATATATATATATATATATATATATATATATATATATATATCATCCTACTCCCTGATGGTTATTATATGATGAGTTATATAATTCATATGAAGATAGAGATCATGGAGACGAGTTTAATCATACTTTTATTGATAATTTTTGTAATCACTTCAGAAATTTAGAATTAATTTAGACTGTTTGAAAATAATATTGTTTGAATAGAGATTAAACTGACCATTAAATTATCAAATTTTCTGTTTTTTTCCTGTTAAACAGTCTTTACGTGTTGCAAATGAACTTTCAAGAACAAGTCAGCCTGTATACAATCAAACCAGAATGTCAAAAGCAAATATTTCAACACATATGAGATTAAAACCTTTATCATCCAAATCAAACTATCGAATATCACATAACTTTATAGAACATGGATCTACAACACAAACAACTCTGAGAGCATTAGCCAACTGGTCTAGAAGACGAACAAGACTGAGATCTTAATTTTTTCTGAATAAAACACAACAATCCGTCTAAAGCTAAACAAATTAGACAATAATATTAGATCCACCAAGTTCTCTTCGAAATCGAAATCAAATATAAAGCAAATGAAATGTATTTCATGAAGTGATTTTTATGAAACTATCTAATTTCATCATTTTATTTGTTAATTTTTTTTATTATTTCTCACTGAATTCAAATCTTTTATTTGGACTGTTTTGTTTTAAATATGTTGCAAATATTACTCGGACAATTGTATTTTGGAAATAACTATTATAAATATAGTTTACATAAGTAAAATAGCATCAATTGTTTTTATAAGATAAATAGATTTTGATTACAGAAGTTTAGCAAGTGTTCACATTATGACTATTTCCTAAGGTACCATATATATAATCGAACAATATTGTTTTCAATTAGACTTTACGTCTATAGCAATATAATCGTTTTTCAATATCACTATATCGTAATTAGTTATTCTCTGAAATGTTTTACGGTAGATGTTGCAAATTTAAAACGAAATTTCTATTTTTAAACAGTCAATCATAAATACTCTTGATAAGTCTTGTGAAGCATGAAACTTTAGTTCAAAGTTTATCATTCATTAAGCTTAATTATTGACTTACGCATTCAGAAATGAGATATTAGAAATTTAAGTTGGAAGTAAAAATATCAGATGATTGCATTGAAGTGGATATGAATTAGCTCTGTAGTAAAGGTTATTTCATTTCTATTATACATCTTTATTGTAGGGTGAATGTAAGAAAACTTGAGCTTTAACTTAATTGTAATGAATGACTATATATATATATATTGATACAACAATCTTTTCTTGTACTACACAATGAAATCTTAGTAGAAGAGCTTTCAGAATAAGTGAAAAAACGTTATATGTGTACAGTTTTAACGAAATGTTTATTTTAACTGCGGAACACATGAATAAATAATGTTGCTGCTAAACGTGTATAGGTTGTCAACATGTCATTTGCTGTAATTACTACCTTCAGAAACTTTTGCGGTTTATTTCATTGAAAATTGATGTCATATATAGGCAGCTGTATGATTTAACAGCTTTCCATTTTTCATGTACTTGGTGGATTATGATGGATGCCTGCTAAATACGTCTCTACTTAAGCGTAGTTTAAAATACTGAATGAAAAACACAAATATGAAATGACTTGGAACTTCATATGAAATCTTAATACAAAATCTACACTCCAGTAAGCAATGCCATTATTGATTGTAAGATTGTTGTTTAAAAAAAGACGTAATCATTAAACTTCCGTCTCGTGTTTGCATACCATATAGTATTACACATTGGTTAACACTCACAAATACACTGCTGCATATATATGCTTCTTGTTTTCAATTATCCGCTGTTACGACAACGAAACTCTAGTATATTTACTGTCCATGTTTACAGATTACAGTGATATTCTCATTGCATACTTTATCTGGATATACATCTCGGATTATGGCAATTATAGTTGGAATTACTAACTACTTGTAATTGTGGATTGCAAGACCAAAAGAAACTATAAAACGTCTATTCCTGACAACTTAATTAACGTCAAGTATACTTTTCTTGTGTGTACAATTTATATTTAGTATATTAAAACATTAGTTTTCTTTGGTAATAACCTTTTTATCATTTTTGAAATTGATGTATTTTGGTCCACTACTGGTTATCTTACTACCAGGCAGGAGAGTGGCTGGCTGCAATATGAAGGATTATAAAATCGGAATGAAGATGAGTGAAAAGAAGATACCGGTCAGAATAAATGAAGAGATAATTAGTGCGAACAAAATGGACTGACAAAAGTCAAATGACGACATATATATGGAGGTGATAAAGAGTGAGGCCGGTAGAGATAGGTTAACAATGATGTGTGGTATTTGTACGAACTAATGATTTCTTTGTACTTGATTTTAAATTACAAATATAATGAGTTCATTTGTGGCCATCTGGCTCTACCTGCCTGTGGTGTTTGAATTAACTAATGATTCTTTTGTACTTGTTGAATGCTCGATTTCGAATTCTAAATACAGTACATTCGTTGTGCCTGTGTCTTCTTAATTCAATTGCGTTAATCCTGGGATTCCTAATTCATACTATAATTAGAATACTATATTGGTGTCGCGATGGAGCCTGCAATGGAAAAGTTAGATATTCATTCAACTTCAGAAGCTTTTGAAGATTACTTTGAAAGGTTCGAAATCTGGGCTATGACCAAGGAAGATGATGAGGATGTTAATATTGTGGCACACTTCCTCACATTCATTGGAAAAGAAGCATACAGCTTATTAAGAACTCTGGCTATGCCGGAAAAACCCATTTCGCTTTCTTATACAGCTCTCAAGGATCTACTGCTAGACTATGCTCAGTATACAAATTTCAAATGTCGTAAAGGAGGAAGATTTCGTAAAATGATTCATGAGGATATAAAAAAGTCCACTACATTACTACGTCATCTCAACCTAGTGCATACTCAAGGTTATGCAGACAATTCATTGAATTTGGATGCAGTTCACGAGGATGGGGACAAGTTTGGTCAGTGTTTGTCCTGTTGCAAGTTCCACTCTTCTAATTCATGTAAATTTCATAATTCTAAATGCTTCAAATGTCGTGATATTGGACAAGTTCAGTCAGTTTGTAATGCTAATGTTCATCTTACTGCAATTAATATTAAGTCTTGTAATTCTGATTCTACTGAGTCGAGTATTCATGATGATCAGTTGTCTTTATCAACGATTTCAAAAGACAGTGCAGAGTCATATGGCAGTTCAGAGTTAAATGAAATCCAGAATTCTTGTGAGACAACATTTCCTAATCAACCGATTTATCAGAATTCTCATGCTATTGTACCAAGTATGACTTTTCCTAATGATTCACATATTTCTAATGAAATTACTTGCAATTCTGAGGAAAATATGTTAAATGAACCTAATCATGATCGAAAACCTGATGTGGTTTGGATAGATGCTGATTTCTCTAACGATCCTACGCTCTGCAACGACAGTCCTGATGAATTTCATGAGAATATTTCAGAAGAATCAAATCCTGATGTCATATCATATATTACCTATCCTCATAATGTATTTGATCTTCGTGAAAAACCTGCCCAATGCGAAGCACGAGTACTAAGTGACCTCGAGTTTTATTATATTTCGGATGATTTCATATCAACTGCTGTTTACTCTTATCACAAAAACAGTTCTAATGTTTACTCTAAACAATGTGAGATATATGTTTTAAATGAAGCCACATTATTCATAACTTGGGAGTATAAAGATCCAACATTATTTCGTGGGGGGGGATAGTGTTGAAAAATCTATGGTTCGAATTCTAGATATTAATGATTTCATTACAAAACCGACATGCTGGTTGTATACAATTCCAGGTGAGTCTGTTCCGATTTCGTTTGTTAATTCCAATACTAATGAGCACTTTCTAGATACTACAAAGTTTTTATCTTATACAATGTCGGACAGACTCAGGATGAACTTAACAAGAAGACGTACAACCGATTACAAACACTTATACTTCTATTTAAGCTGTGGCGGATGTGGTGTTTGAATTAACTAATGATTCTTTTGTACTTGTTGAATGCTCGATTTCGAATTCTAAATACAGTACATTCGTTGTGCCTGTGTCTTCTTAATTCAATTGCGTTAATCCTGGGATTCCTAATTCATACTATAATTAGAATACTATACTGCCTTAAATTGCAATATTTCGGCGATTCTTAGCACATTGATTCGAATACCTCTAGTTATCATGTAATACTACTAATAAAAATAAAAAGTAGTGGTTTTATTGTTTTAAAAGTTCCCTGAAGTGTCCTAATTCATAGTACTTTCATCCTCTGAAATCGGGCAATTAACAATAAGGTCCTGTTTGAATGAACTCACAAACATGACGTGCAGTCGTTATTTACTGCCGCGCTTTGACCGCTTGCTAGGAACATCCGTGATTTGCTTTTATTCTCCCAGGTGGGAATTTAGTCCATTTTAGTTGAAAACACTTTTGTTTACTATAAGGTACTTAATAATTGTATTCACTAAGCACTTTTTGCCATATAATACTCGATTCTTCAGTAAAGTCTCGACTTTTTGATGGTCAAGAGGAATATGAACACAGTGAATCTGTAGTGGCATTGGACCATAACCACACAATCCTCAAAGCTGAACATGAGAATACTCGGAAAACAGATATTCAATATTTAACGCGGAGAAATATCTAACGATGGAAAAGGCGGGAACAATGAGTTTAATTAATTGGAGTTGATCGGATGACATGGCTCAGCCATGTAGACGTGGTCCATGCGGAATGTTACCTTACATCCATTATTCATATTAAACATATATATATATATATATATATATATATTTCTGCATGCGCAGGTACGCGCCATTTTTACAGGCATGATCTATAAATTACAATACTTGTTGGTTCACAAAATGCCTCGCAACTTATTAAGTTTATAGTTGTTATGAAGTATACTCGTAGGGCGCTTGCTGTAAACCGTGACCCTGAGGAGACACGTACGTCAAGTTTGTTCCACACGTCAGAAGTTTCATAGTTGTGCCCTCAGAGCAAATTTTTGAAGAAGAAAAAAAGGAGAAACAGAAGAGCAGAAAGGCACTTGGATATGAACGCCAAACGTTGCTTAACATTGTGTAGTAGAAAGGACAGAGGCATAATAAATTAGAATAAACTCATATTATATCTTGTTAGAGTGAAATGAAGTCAGAGGCTCCATATTAGAGAATGTAGTAATAAAGAACAATGAGTTGTGTCGTTTAACGAGTTGTAGTAAGCTCACATGAAGGAAAGGAAGTCAAGGCTGGTACAAGGAAAGAGGTTTATTAAAAGGGTGTGTGTATATAGAGGGTGAAGTGTTATATTGTTCTTTCGCTAGCCTAAGCTTGTTCTCTATCATGTATTGGTAATTGTTACGATACATTGAATTGGTGTAGACGATGATGTGACTTCCACGTATGATCTTATAGATTAGGCAGTTATATCATGAAAAATCTATGATTTTAGGATTGGGTCTATTATTAGAGCAGTACTAATATAATGGTAGACCATAATTCTACAGATCTGATACGAAAATGAAGGCTCTAATCGGCAAAACAAGAGCAGCATATTTACAACTGAGGAACATCTGGAACTCGAAACAACTGTCAACCACAATCAAGGTCACAATCTTAAATACAAATGTCAAGACAGTTCTACTGTATGGGACGGAAACCTGGAGAACTACGAAAGCCTTCATTCAGAAGATATAAGTGTTAATTAACAGATGTCTATGCAAAGTACTTCGGATCCGCTGGCCAGACACCATCAGTAACAACCTGTTGTGGGAGAGAACAAACCAAATCCAAGCAGACGAAGAAATCAGGAAGAAGCGCTGCAAATAGATAGGACACACATTGAGGAAAGTACACAACTGCGTCACAGAACAAACCCTCACATGGAATCTTCAATGCCAAAAAAGAATAGGAAGACCAAAGAACATGTTACGCCGAGAAACGGAGACAGACATGAGAAAAATGAACGAAAGTTGGACAGAACTGGAAAGGAAGTCTCAGGACGGAGTGGGTTGGAGATCGCTGGTCAGCGGCCTATGTTCCAATGGGAGTAAAAAGCGTACTTAAGCAAACCCTATATTTTGCGATAGAACATCCCTACATAATGGTACTACATGAATCCTTCACACTTTTTGTATATTGATGTAATCATTGACTATAAGCGACTCAACAAAGCTTTTTAACACATTCAGAAGAACTCAGAGCCAAGGCTTGATCTAATGACTCTTGTTTTCGGTGGGTCGTCCTCCAAGTTAAGAATAAATAAACGTATGTCGTTTGCCACAATATTATTAAAGAAGAACGAGACATCCATCAGGTACAACTGTCTTAGGTGACGCACCGTAATTCATAGATCCGCACCTTGAGAACTGATCAAACAATTTATCCAAGACAACGCATGTTTTGACGTTATTCGCACCGAAAGTATGTCATATATCTGAGGTAACATGGAAGGTTTTTTCAGTGGGCAAATTTCTAGAAGGGCACTTATTAGATGATGAGTTGACAAATTCCGGGTGAAGGTAGTAGAGATCGACTTAGAAATCTGCAATCGTCTTGAGTGAAATATCAATGCCTCCTAGATTTTATTCATAAGTGCGTTTGCAAAACTTTTACTGGTGCTCAAATATCTCAGTATGTAAACATGGTCAGCCAGAATATGCCTGCTCTTTATTGCTTTTTTATTCTCTTTTCTATTGCCTGCGCGTTCAGACAAACCTGACCTGTTAACCTATGATTGAGCATGCATCTAACATACAAAAATATTGGTTCAATAAATGAAGATGGTTGTTCTACATTAGTTGACGCCGAACAGCCGTCACTTTGTTTTCAATGAGCGACTACTGTGAGCACCAATAAGAATTTCAAATAACTGTATCTGACTCAATAATTCTGTATGTCCACAGGGATTTCGAGATTTCTGAAATAATTGAAGGCATAGTTCACATGCCAAAGATGCTCTTTTCTATCTGCACTTGCTACTAGACGGTTATCAGCGCTTTTATCTCAAAAGGTGCAACCTTTGAAGACGTTGCTGATAAAAAAGACTTGAAAGTTTGCACAGCATCTTCCATTACGAAATAGACACGCAAAAGTTCGTAAGGACTGAAAATAGTTGTTGTGGTTGTCCGAAGGGTATCGTCGTCAGACCAAGTTATTTGGTAACACGTTTCTACTAAGCCTAATTTCGAAGAAACTGTTGCATCCCTCAAGAAGATGGCCAACTAAACGTGGGATCGAAAGTGATCGTCTGGAGTATGTCTCAAGTAATGTTGCCGACAAATTCAGCCAGGGCTACAAGTTTTCTTGCCATCCTTATAGGCTACGTGCAATAAAAAGATTCATAAGTTATTCGAATGATGGATTTTTATCAAAACCATCATATGGTTTTATTCGTTCTTCTCCAGTCTCAGTTTTAAGAGTGCTAGTCAGTTTGCTTTCAAAGATATAATTGGTCATAAAACTGTGACGTCATATGTAACATGGCTGATTACTCACGATAATTTAGATGGTGGCTTGTAGTACTTTTCGATAGTAAGTGTCAGTTAAATAAATGTTTGACTCGAATCGGACGTTAGTGTTCACTTCGTGAAGAAAACTGGTGTGTTGAGAGGACACAGTTTAGTTGAAAGGCTCGGAGTCCAACAATAAATTTGTAGTCAGTGGCGACGACTGCACAAATTAGGTACATCTAAAAAAATGGCAAATCCAGCCAGAAAATATTCATCAAAGAGGTTCATATTAACCGTCTCCAGATAGTTTGACTAGAGAATTGTAGTGTTTGAATTAGCTAATGTTTTTTCGTACTTGTTGATTGCTCGATTTCGAATTCTAAATACAATACATTCGTTTGTGCTCATCTAGTACCTCTTGATTCAATTGCGTTATTTCGGGGATTGTTAGTTTATACTATAATTCAAATAGTTTCAAACATTAAAAGAGTGTATTCGAATTATAGGCAAAGTTATTCTACCGCATGGTTTCTAAGTTGGTTGATTATTGGAGATGATACATTCCATGACGAATTGAAACAGAGTTTGTTCACGATCAATGACCCAGATCCTTCAGCTAGTTATGCGCATGCTTAGACCGGTGTTGTTAACTTCAGTGCCGTGTGCTGACAAGCCACCTATTTCGATAAGTTATCTGCCTCTACAACTGCGGTAAGCTGCATACTACTCAGCTGGGAGATTTAAAGAAAACATACGAAACACTAACATGTAAACTGTCATTGCGACAAAAGATGTGGCATTTTATCATGGTTATAAAATTCATTTCCGTTTTCTATCATTACAGTCTAACTTCAAAACTGTTGCCTAGCATCAACAGCTACTAAGTATTTCCTTTGTGGTTCGCACCAACGATGAATTTAAGTAGGTGTTACAGAACATTTCCAGATTCTTTTAGCTGAAACGTCCTTATTCTCTTTTATTTCAAGATGTATTAAAAATGTTCTAGGTCATTATTGGGCTGTCTCCAGGTCACCTGTTTTTAATCGTGGCCAGAAATCTGATTCTAATTTGACTGTATGATGATTTTAACGAAATATACAAACTCCGTGGCCTATACACAATTATCGATTAAGTTCACATTATTGAATAACCAAATAATTTAAGACAAACACGAAATTCGTTGTTGGATATATTTGTATTTGCGCGTTCATCAGCGCAAACAGGTAATAAAAAGAATGAGACGAACTGAATAAGGCAAGAGTGTCAATTCCA